AAAACCCTTCAAGATATGGAAAAACTTTCAACTCAAACGAGAAGAAGAAATATCTCAAATAGTTATATACCGAGTTTCACTGCGGGAATAAGTTTACTTTAAATTTTATTTTTACACTTTCGTTTCAATAAATTTTCCTCTATTTTTGAATTTCAAATAAAGAGAGAGAGAGAAAAACACGGAAATTCATATCACGAAAATTGTATATAATTTTTATTTGACTGCAATTTTAAAGTATTGTAAAATTATAATTTATAATTTCAGAAAAAAAAACATTTAACTTAAAAAACTAAAAAAAAGAAATATGTTAATTATACAATTTTTTTTTTCAAAAACTTCGTTTTTTCAAGATTTCTAAATTAAATTTTTCAAATTTAAACAATTTTTGTTAAATAAATATTTAAATTTACAAGAGGCCATATAACCAAAAAAAAAAAAAAAAAAGGTTAAAGTTATTGGAGAGGGAAAATGAGAGCTAAGATAAAAAAAGAGAGTGGGGGGGGGGCGTTCCTAAGTGGAAAAAGTCAGTTGCATATGTGAGTGCTATCTTTATTTTTCACTTTTGTCAAGTTTCATAATACCACGTGGCATTTTAGTCGAAGGCATTGTTACCACCAAGGAGAGAGAAAAAAAAAGTGAGAGTCGCGACAGCATTTTCCCACGAGTTTTCTCTGCATTCTCTCCATCAACTCTATACCCGAAAGTGCACATTGCACATAACCTGTCTGTCTCTCTTTCTCTCTCTCTCTCTTTTCTCCATTTTTACCTTTTTCTCTCTATCTCTCTTCATTTTTTTTCAACCCTTTTTGCGACTTCCGTTGGGACATAGGGAAGTCAAGACGCTCGGCTTCTATCGCATTTTTGCAATTTAATTTTACCATCGTTTCTATGTAGTTGTAATATCTGTGTAGATGTGAATCAATAACTCTGAGGGAATTGTATATCAAATACATAGCAATTGGATTTTAAAATGTTTCGACATGAAACTTTACCCCAAGTCAATTTACCTTAGAATTTATTCATTTAATCAAGCTACTTCGTGAATTCTCTTTCTCTTAATAAACGGAAAACTTTTTTTTACCTCCCCCCTCTACCTCCGTTTCCTTCACTTTATATAACTGTTATTAAGTTATTTTAACTATACAATTCTATAAAGTTGATTTGAAAATAATGTCCAAAAAGAAATTTTATTTCAAAATAAAAGAAAGAATTTTTTTTTTTTTTGGACAAAAAAACTCTTTTGATTAAAAAAAAAAACTTTTCTTCATTTGATTGAAAAAAAAATATCTTTGGATAATTTTACAAAAAGTTTAGAAAAAAATAAATTTCTTTTATAATTGAAAAATAATTCTTATATGGAAATATAGGAAATTTTTTTTTATAATCGTTTTTACAGAATATAAGAACGCATTTTGAAATTGGAACTTTTTCTATTTAAATCAGTATTTTTTCCTGAGGGTGTATTTTCTCGGGAACAGTTGGACTTTTTTTCTTCTTTTATTTGACGATAGTAACAATATACTTTTTCAATAAAACTTGGCAATAAATTTGAGACTGTAAAAATCGTAATAGGAGATTTCCTCGACTATATATATAGAGAGAGAAAGAGAGAGAAAAAGAGAGAAAGAGAGACAGAGAGAGAAAGAGAGACTGTAAGATACCCAGAGGAACTGTATGTTTTCAGCATTCTTGGAAGGTTGAAAGTCTCATGAAGTCTGAGAAACTAAGGAGTTCTCTCGTCTGACCTAACACGAGTCTTTACTACTTGCTTTCGTCTACGTCTACACACTTTTACTTCCAAGTATATTCTCTCTTCTTATTTTAACTAGCCATTCATGCATTCTTTGAAAATCGTCGAGAGGCTCGTTTAAAAACACAAGAGAGAAAAACAAAAACAAACAATTAAAAAAAAAAGAAAACGATCTTTTACTCTTTATTTAAAATACTAGTAACAATTTGCGCGCAGCTGACTTCTCACTTTTATTAAATAAAATTAGTAATTTTAAAAATAATTGAACGTAAAAATTTTTAATTCAAATTTTTTTTTTATAAAAATAAAATATGAATTTGAATATATAGTTTAAATATTATTATAATTATAATGATCATATATTTTGACGTAGGGAATTTAGGGAAAAATCAGAAATTTTTATTAAAAGTACAGAAAAAAATTAAATTTTTAGAATTTAGAAGAAAATTCTGAATTTTTGTGTCTTTTTTGTTTGACTTATAAACTATAAAATTACCACGAATTCTAATACAAAACCTATTTTTTTAATTTCTCACAAAAATTTCTTTTTAAATAACTTAAATCTTGAACAACTGTCATAAAATAAATAAATTATTTAATGAATAATTTTACTTAAATATTTCAAAATTAATTAAATTTTAAAAGAGTTGCGTTTACAATATTCATAAATAAACGAACTTCAAACGATTTCAATTTGAAATTTTATAAAAATTCAATATTTGAATGAATTTAATTAGAAATTTTAATGAACTTAGATTTTTGAAAAATTTTAATAATTCAAATTCTTCTAAAATTAGTTAAATTTGTGAATATATATTTAATTACCTAATTATTAAAAATAATGGATTTACAAAATTCAATTATGTTCAAAATTTACAAAAAAAAAATATCAACAATATTCCAATTATTATCTTTATAAATAAAAAAATTCTTCTTCAAAATTCAATTATTTTTAAAAAATATCCTCATTTAAATGATTTTTAATATTTACTATTTTAATAAAATTCACCAAAAGAATTCAATTATTTAAAGACAATTTTAATAAAATTGTGCGCAAACATTTAATTAATAATTCAATTATTTTCATAAATGATAAAATTTTTATAATGATTCAATTATTTTCATGAATAATAAATTTTTTTATAGGTTTTTAATTATTTTTAAAAATAATAAAACTCATCGCAGAATTTCAATTATTTTTAATACAATTTTAATGGGATTTCTCGAAAAATTCTTAAAAAATAAATAATAAATAAAATAAAATAAAAAAAATAAATAAATAAAAATTCTTAAAAATTTTATTAAAATTCATCAAAGAAATTCAATTATTTTAAAAAGCCTTCCTATAATTTATTTATTAGAATTTAAGTATTATTGCCAATACATTTTTAATTAAATTTCTGAAAAGAATTAAATTATTTTCAAAAGTTTTAATGAAATTCTTTTTGACCATTCAATTTTTTTAAAATAATTTTAATAGAATTCTTCGCAGAAATTTAATTAATTTCAATAATATATAAAAATTCAATTATTTGAAATATCTTCTATTTCAATAAAATTTCACAAAATAATTCAATTATTATTTAAAAAGTAATGTTATTAAAATTCCTCTCAAGAATTCAATTATTTGTAAAAAGAGAAATAAAGCAATAAAATTCTTCGCAAAAATTAGAAAAAGTCAGAAGTTTAAAAAAATTCTCTTCAACATTTCAATCATTTTTATAAACAATAAACTTCTTGGCAAAATTTCAATTATTTTCAAAAATTTTAATAAAATTCGTCAAAAGAATTCAATTATTTAAAAATTTGTTAATAAAATTCTTTATAAGAAATAAATTTTAAGAAACATTCAATTATTCAATAAATAATTTACTTTTGTGTTTAAATAATTAAATTCTCGTAGAATTTTCTAATAAAAATTAATTTGAAAATGAATTCTAATTTAAATTTTAGATAATAATAGAATATGAAAATAATTTTTAAGAAATTACAGTAACAATATTCTTATAATATAAAATAATTATTTTATCACTTGATTATCATTAATTATATTATAAAACATGAAGAAATCGATCACGATGAGTAGTAATTGTTTTCTTTATGTTTTATAACAATATTTTTAAAGTTGATTAATTTCAAAAAGGTTTGAATTTGAATGTTTTGAAGAATTTTAATTACTATGGAAAAATAATAATAATTAAATATTTAAAAAAGAAATTATTGTTTTCGAATAATTTTACAATTAAATATTCATAAATAAATTTAACAGAACATTTTTTTTCAATAAAATTGTTTTCTTTATTTTCTAAAATTCAAAAATTTTCAGTTTCATTTTCAATTAAATTTTCTAATTGACAAATATAATTTATAAACTATTTTTTCCCTTTATTTTTAAAAAACTTTGAATTTTATTAAACCAATTGAAATTAAGAAATAGAATTGATGCAAATTATTTCCTCATGAAAATTGCTAATTTCCTAAAAGAAAATGTTTTTAATTTTATTAAGTTTTAATTTATTTAATTTTATTTGAAAACTTATTGAATTTTGAAAAAATATCAAATATCATTTTTAGAAATTATTAAATTTCAAAAGGTTTTAAAGCATTTTGAAATTCTAATTCATGTGGGCTAAGAAGAAATAACAATAAGTATTTGAATATTTATTTGACAAAAATTAGTTAAATTTGAAAAATTTAATTTAGAAATCCTGAAGAAACGGAGTTTTTGAAAAATTGTAATTAAATATTCCAGTTGAATTCCCGAATAAATAATTTTAAAAAATTGAAACGATTGGAAAATTTCTCAAATATCATTAAAAAGGATTTTATTGTTATAGTTAGAGAATCATATTCTAAAAATAGAAAAAGAATTAAAAAGTTTTACAAAAATTGAAATATTAGTCCAATACACGTTCAAAAGTAAAATTAAAGTAATTTTTTTGTCCGATTAATTTTAATTTTTATTAATTTCTTTTTGTTCTGGAAAATATTTTCTGATTTAAGAAGAGCCACTAAATTGCAATTTGCAATTTTTATATTCTTATTTACGAATAATATATTTCCCAATAAAATAAATTATCTCGTAAATATTCATTTTTAAAAAATAGAAGTAGAATAAAAAATAGAAAATTAAAAATTTAATTTAAACATTTTTCTGTGAATATATTTTTGAAAAATTCTGAATTATTTTGAAATTTTTTTTTTTTTATTATTTTGAAACAATTTTCAAATGATATTTTTTTAATTTCAGAGGAAGTATTCGGCTCTAATAAGGCAATATGGTTCTCTCCGAGTGGAACAAAAATGGTCTTTGGCTACTTTGACGACAATCACACGCCAATAATGAATATTCCATATTACGGATATCCAGGAAGTATAACTTTTCAATACACGTCCGTCATTCCAATTCATTATCCAAAAGTAAGTAAAATAAAAATTTTTCACAAACCTTTCACTGAACAATGGCACATGTTCCACACTGAAACAAAAAGAAAAAAATATTTTTAATTAATTTCTCCAATTTCTGTCTCGAAATTATATCCAATAAAAAAAATTCTTTTCGACGAAAACAATAAAATTTTTTGTTTATCATTTTTCTCTTTCAAATTATTGATCTCACTATTAGTGTATTAATTAATATTTAATATTGTATTATAAGTCATTGATTAGAAGAAAAAATTTTAATTCTTTACGAAAACAATAAAATTTTTTGTATACAAATTTTTCTTTTATTGATCTTATTATTAATTAATATTTAATATTATATTATAAATCACTGATTAAAAAAAAAAATTGTTTCTTTTTTACCAAAACAATAAAATTTTTTGGCTTACAAATTTTTCTTTTTAAAAATCTTTTGAACAATAATTTGAAAAATAATTTGTCAAAATTAGCAAAATATTTTTTTAAACAAAAATATATAAAAATTTGAATAGAAAAATATTTTTTGTTTCCTAAATCGTTGACCATAAAGGGTGTAAACTTCACCAAAGTTAAAATATACAATCTTATAAAATATTTTCAAATTACGATAATTTTTAAAAATTATCTGATAATTAAATGTAATAATAATAATTATTGTCAGATTAATTTTACGAAAAAAAAAATTAATAAATAATTATATCAATAAATTATAATATAATTATATTAATTAATAATTATTTTTAAAAAAATTAATATGACAAAATATTTAAAAAGCGTACGGAAAATTATTGGAACAATAATAATAATAATAATAATAATAATTATTATTATTATTATTATTATCATATTTAATTATCAGCTAATTAATACCATATACAGTTAATTTACAGTATCTCCAATTAGTTTGATGTGTCAGTTTCAATATAATGAATGATTGGAGAATATATTTATCCAACCCTTGTACGTGACCCAGTTTATTCACATTTTCCATACAGTCGATTTTTTTTATATTATTTTAAAAAATTGTCATTTTTCCAAAGTAACGAAATAGATTGGATGAAATATTCCAGAGTCGGGGAAAAAATCCTCCACTACGATGCAATATTTCAGTATAATCATCTCATCGTTTTACGATCTCTGTTTATACTTGAAATTTAATTACAATTTACATATTTCATTTTTTTTTCCTTCAATTTTTCAACATTTTCTCTATTTTCCTAAAATTTTTGCATATCCTCGTTTTTTTCACAAATACTCGAGTAGTTTCAATCCAATTAGTATATTTTTTTTTTATTGAATTAGCAAATCTTTTCCTTTAATTATTTTCATCACTCAATAATAATAATTATAGTACTTAAAAATATGGGAATTATAATAAGCAGATCAGTGATTAAAAAAAGGAGGAACTCATAAATAAAAAATAAATAAATAACAAGGAAATAAATAACAAACAAACAAATAGATAATAAATTAATAAATAAATAACAAATAAATAAGTGAATAATAAATTAATAAATAAATAATAACTAAATAATAAATAGCTAATAAATAAATAATGAATAATATTTTTCTAAAGCTTTTAAAGTTTAAATAAACGAATTTTTTTTCTTTTAAATAATATTTTCAAAAATTACTGAACAAAAAAGAGAAATTATTAAAATTAAACATTTATTTAGTTAAAAATTAATTAATTAAAAATAATTAACAATAAAAGTAAATAAATAATAAATAACTAATAAATAGATAATGTTGAATTAATAAATTAATAATAGATAAATAATAATTAAGTAACAAATAAATAACAATATTCAAAGAAATAATAATAATTGAAGGAGATTACTAATCAGTGTTTAATGATAATTAGTACAGTAATTATTCTATTTAATAAAATACCGAAAATTGAAGAGAGGACCATTCAGAAAAGAACTAATCTCGTCTTCATTAAAATGTGAATTTAAGAAATGAAAAAAAATATATTTCTCTCTAAGTACAAGTAAATGTCAGGCATGCCAAGATCGTAATCGTTTTCTCTTTTTTTACCCCTAAGTTTTCCTCGTTTGCGACGCAGAAACACGAGAGGAATTTAGGATTTGTTGCTCGCTGAAATTTTTAACGTTGGCGCACCCCAATGTAAGAGAAAATTGTGAGAGAGAGAGTGAGAGAGAGCACATCTCTCCTCTGTGTGCAAAGAAACCTTTTCCTTTGCTTTTTAGCCACTTTCTCGGAAGATTTAAAATGAACGTATAAGAGTGAGAGAAAGAGAAGAGAAAAAAAAAGAATTGAGAAAAATTTGCACATAAAAGAAGGGGGGAAAAATAGGGAAAAACATAAGGAAACCTGTCTCATAAAAATTTTTCCTCATATCATCAAAGTTATTATTTTTTTTCTGAACCTTTTATTAATGTTCGTTCTTGTCGGGCAAAATGAAAAGCGCAAGTTTGCTTGAAAAATTCCAGCACTGAAAGATAAGTGCTGTCTACAACTTATATGTAAATTTTTCACTTGTAAGTTCACCAAATTTTCTTACCTCCTCCTCTCCCCCCCGTTGAAAAGAAAATTTATTCTCGTTTTATCAAATTTCATTTTTCGAAAGAAGGACAAAGAATTATTTTTTTTTATTACGAAAAGTAATAAATTATGTTCTTTTCAATTTTTTCCAAAAATTTTTTCCAACTTTTCAATAACTTTTTCAGAAAAAAATTAATTTTTTAATAAGAAAAATGCTCTAAAAATATGAAAATTTTGCGCTATCAGGGCTCGAATCGAGTTTAAGACCAAAAAAAAAGTCGCATGAAATTTTAGGAAAAACGATAAAAAAAGGCAAGAAATTGTAAAAAAAATGTAAAAAAAATGGCAAAATGTTAATGGGGTTTTATTAGAATTGATAATTGAATGTAGAATGTAACAAAATATCGGTTTGATTATTATTTAGTAAAAAATTTATTTTTTCTATAATTTTCTTATTATTTAAAAAAAAATTTAATAAAATTCGAAGCAAAACTTTAATTATTTTCATAAATAATAAAAATTTCACAGGGATTCAATTATTTACAAATTTTTTATAAATTTCTTTGCCATAATTCCATTATTTTCATAAATAATAAAACTCATCGAAGAATTTCAATTATTTTTAATACTATTTTAAATTAATTAATCGAAAAATTCAATTATTTTCACAAATAAAGTTTTACACAAGAATTCAATTTTTTATAATAAATTTTTCATAATATTTATTATATTTCGAAAACATTAATTATATCAAACAATGTTTATAAAAATTCTTACGAAGAATTCAATTATTTTCAAAAATAACAAAATCTTTCACAGAAATTCAATTTTTTTAAAACATTTTAATAAAATGTTTCGCAATAATTCAATTATTTTCATATATAATAAATTTCATCGCAGGATTTTAATTATTTTTAATACCTACAATTTTAGAAAAATTAATAAAAAAATGTAATTATTTTTAAAAATTTATTTTCAATTCCTCGATAAAATCAATTATTTAAATAAATGTTTTTTTAAATTCTTTGGAAGAATTCAATTATTTACAAAAATATTAGAATTTTTCACAGGAATTCAATTATTTTCAAATATTTTAATAAAATTGTTTGAAAGAAATCAATTATTTTAAATACAATTTTAATTAAATTATTATTTTAAAAATAATTTAATTATTATTTTAGATTTTAATAAAATTCTTCCCAAGAATTTAATTTTATTTACATTTATAATTCTTCTAAAGAACTCAATTATGTCGATAAATAACAAAATTATTCCCGAAAATTCAATTATTTTGAGGCATTTTAATAAAATTCTTTGCAAAATTTTAATTATTTTTATAAATAATACAAATTTCTCAGAAATTCAATTATTTACATTTTTCTTATAAATTTCTTCGCAATAGTTCCATTATTTTTATAAATAATAAAATTTTTTTTAAGGAATTCAATTATTTTCATAAAAAATAATTAAACATTCTAGAAAATATTAATTTAATTAAAATGATGAAAATAATTTTGAAGAAATTTGCCTACAGTAACAATTTTTTTAAAATATAAAATAATGATTTTATCACTCGGTCATCTTCAATTATTATAAAACATTAAGATGTCTTTATGTTTTATAACAATTTTTTAGAAGTTGTTTAATTTCAAATAAAATGTTTGAATTTGAAATTTTTAAAAATCTTAATTCCTATGGAAAAATATTTATTTAATAAAGAAGTTATTGAAGTTTTCGAATAATTTAAAAGAAATTCGTAAATAAATGTAACAGAACTTTTTTTTGAGTAAAATTTTTTCCTTTATTTTCTAAAAATTTAAAAAATTTCAATTTAAATTTCAATTAAAATTTGTAATTGACAAATAGAATTTATAAGCAATTTTTTTCTTTATTTTTAAAAAACTTAAAATTTTATTAAAGCAATTATTTATAATTTCCTTATGAAAATTGAGAATTTTCTACAAAAATATTAAGAAACGGGAATATGTAATGTTTCTTTTCCAAAAGAAAAGAATAAGTTTATGAACAATATTGTTCTTGAGAAATAAAAATTATGCATAAAATGTGTACATTTTCTATTTCTTAATCATAATTTTTTAACAATTAACAATTTTATTTAATATTTTTATAAATAAAAAAGAGGCAAATTTTCATAATTTAGATCAATCAAAAGAAATTTGTTATAGAAAAAAGTATATATATTAAACAAAGTGTGGACTGACAGAATTAATGAAAGAATAAAATACGAAGATTACTATTTAGTAGATAATAATAGATAATTTACAAAAAAAAATATTTCTGCTCTTTAAAATTTAAGTCAAGAAGAAATTAAAAAATGTAAAAAAAGTCGATTTTGAAATTGTTTAAACAGAAAAAATATTCTTCAAAACTTTATAGGAAAATGACTATAAATATTCCTAAAGTTTTGAACGTTTTGAACAACGATATATTTTTATTTTTTTAAATTTGCATTTTTTGTACAAAAAAAA